ATTGTCTTAAACTATTTGTTTAAGAAACATTATTATCCATTTTATCTAACGTTTTCCAATTGAACCAAACCGTGTCAATATTTATAGGTAGTACGTAAACCTCTGTCGCTTGCAAATTCATTGGTCCCGACCCTTTGTGCCAATATTTGTGTTGATCAAACAACTGAAGGCAGCTCAACATTGTACACCATTGCGTCTTCGCCGGGAGCTCAGTTTCAAGTCAAACTTTTATATTGTTTGTGTGTGTATTTTTATTGATACAAAGATAAAATCTAAAGTTATACTGCCTCGGGTCACTCTAATTGCTTTATCGTAAGGTTCTTGTTGCTTTTAATGCAAATACTTAGTGAAAGTAAAATGAAACTTTTCTAAGAATTCGAATACAATTCAAAGGAAAAGTTGCGAACCGTCCATGACTGTGCTTTTTAAAGTACTATGAAAAATAATACATGCCACAAATGTCCTAAGAGTTATTAATTATTTCCTAGGAGTCTCACTATTATACATTTCGAAATAATACTTTAAATAACTTGATTGATATTTAGAATAGTGAAAACACAAACTAAAAACAAATACCATTCTCTAAATAAAGCTTTATAAAATACTGGTTTAATATGCGTCTTATTCAAAAGAAATAAAGTTATTATCTTTTTTTTATTAATGTAAGTAGCTTCGCTCCTTATGTATCTGTCCCCCTTGTCTCCCTTTGTCGCTTCGTATCTGTGGAGAGATACGAAACGAACCTTGGGATAAGGCTCCGACAATATTTATTTATGAAAAACTTATGATTCCATTACAGAATTAAAAAAATCTCTGTTCAGTGAATACAAACTGAACTTACTTTTTGTATTTCCTATCTAAAATTTCTTGTACATTATATGTCAACAAATTTCATTTAACTCATACACACAATAAGTATTATATATCGTCCCCGTAGTTGGAAAATTAAATAAGTCCGGTTTTGGCGAAATTGACTTTTCCCTATTTTCAAAACACTTAAAACATGCCGCATATTTGAGCCTTACAGGCATTTTCGTATCTTATTCCATTCCAAAAATATAGCCATTTTTGTCGGACGGATGGAATAATAAATATCTTCAGACTAACACTATTTTTTTGAAGGAAAAATAAATAACTCAGTAAATAAATCAATAACTGTGGTCAATGATAAGTTAAATGGCAAATAAATTAAATAACATACCTATTTTAAGTTTTTCATAGTTTTACTTACTACTTAAGTATGTCTTTTGTCATTAGGTCACTGATTTTAAAGCCTTATTGTTATTGTTATTATTTTCTGTTTTGATTTGAAAGAATACTTTAAGTTAATTTGTTTCCACTTGTTATAAATGCTATAATTTTGTTTATTTTTTTAAGTTTGTGGCAAGATAAATATCTGTTTACAATATCCTTTTTTTAAATTTTATTGTACTTTTATATTTCTTCCAAAATATATAATACAGCTTTTATTCTATATGAGACCAATAATAGTTAAAAATATCAAAATAATGTAAAATACAAAGCCACTAAGTTTTACATTTAAAATATTCGAGTTTGATAAATTCAATAACTGCATTTATTTCACCAAATTTTACTCTACCTAATGGATTAGCTTGTAGGAAAACTAAATAAATAGCCGAAATAAGTAGCTAATTTTAGTTACGTTATAAATAATAGTTGCGGCAAAATTAAACAACTTGATTTTTAATGTTTTATTTTGTTATAGTTAAAGATAGAGCTCAGTTTGTTAAAGCAAAATATAAAAGGTAATCAGGTCCACAAAATATATAAAATTACCGACAGTAAAATTGTCTCACATTTTTTAACAAATGTACATTAACTGAAAAAAAAAACCACTGAATCGCGTTTATCTCAGAACTACAAAATCATAGTTATTTAATTTTCCAACTACGGGGACGATATACTTTCTACCCTGAATTCTGTTTGCATAATATATTACGAAATGGAGACGATGAACCAAACAATAGCAACTACTGTCCCTCATTTCGCTTATTTCCCGCTCGCTTATCATCCAAAATAAAAACAATGCCTTCACTGTGCGATTGTTCGTCTTTAATTTTTTTCTCATTCATGTTCCACAGCTTTGCTTTTACTCATGTTTTTGTTATACTTCTAATTCACCACGCTACATTTGAATACTAACTACTTATTCGGCAACCATAAGCAGGCATTTAAAAAATTCTGAAAAAGATTCAAATAAAGAAAACATAGGTATCGGAAACCACATAATGAATAGTTATGTATTGCGGCTGCGAGTATGCCTGAGCTGATCAACTGCAATTTAATACGAAAACCAACATTAAAGAAACTAAAAACGTCAATTAACCACCGCGCTTGTGTTTTATTGCATGTCTATAAACACCAGCTTCCAAAGAATATGCGGCGCTTTCTCAGCAGCATCACCATAATTGTTGCGGTTTTTTGACTTAATATTATCATCAATGGGCGCCTTAACAATTAATTCCCATCAATAACTGCACGCCAAGTCTTTAATTGGTAATTTGCATTGATTATAAGATGGTAACTTGAAGAGACCTTGACATCTGTCGTATTGAGAGATCAATAAGTAATCATTTAGTGTTATTGCTGTGATTTTTTGTGGTGTTTGGCAACTGTCAGTCTTTTATTTCGCTAGGCTGTTTGTATCTTGTGTTTCGAAATTGACAGTCTTCACAAAAGTCAAATATTTTTTAAATCCTCACATACGCGTGAAACATGTCTCTGCATTATGATTAGTATTTTGGTCTCGAAATATATCATCACCAGTCACGTCAGTCTGTTAATGTATAACACAATCAGCATAATAATGATGTATACTTGTTAGTCGGGGTAAGATTAGTTCTGGCTTGTCGTGCTCATGAATATATTTGAACAATGTTTTAAGTTCAGGTGTTTCATCTGTGTCATCTACTACATTTGTGCTCACAATAGTAAATGAGATTGAATCTATTTCTTCAACGTTTGAATGTATGACAGGTTTATCGTCAGCCTCAATGACTGCGTCTATTGTTGCCCCGTCATTACTGTGGCATCTCCGATCTTTTACCAATTACTTTCGAGACCATACTTGCTTGCCTCACACGTTATGAACATAATTTAATAACACAATCGGATTTCGAATCAGTGTTGTGCATTGACCTTGATATTTCGCCTGGGAGAGCGCCTACTGAATGCATCTGCTTTTGATTACAAAATTAGAACTAGATTAACCAGTTAAATCGCAAGTCATGCATTAATTGAAAAGGCCTCGAAATACGACTAATTCAAGAAGCGTTCTGATTGCCCCATTTTCTAATGCTGTTATAAAAATCTAATGATGGTATACCTACATAATATTTTTACTTCACTTCATTAGACGTGGATAATTTTAAAAAACGAGGAGCACATTTATGTAATGCCTATTGTTAAATTAATGCAAGGATGGCGTTGTGGTTTAAACGGTTGCCACGCCGCCCACTACTATGCTGAGTGTTGTGGGTCCGAACCCCCACATGGGACGACACTTGTTGTTCTGAGTCTGGGTGTTCTTTGTGTCCGTTTCATGTATGTTTGTAAAGTCCTCCGCGACACAGGATTTATTCCTAATGTTGTCTATATAAAAAAATACTACGTATTGAATTATTGTGATGATGTAAATACGAGTTGCCTATCATCTTAATAGTGGGTGCTCTAAATAGCGGACGAGACGTCCGCAGTCTTAGACGAGAACGCCATATGAAATACTTGTATGTAATATACTATGTTGGCGTTAGAGATATTACTATTAGTTAAATCACCCTTTTAGTTAAATCATGAATGAAAAGACAGTTTTTCGAAATAATACTTGCAATTTAAATCAGACTTTGTTGGGTGTGTTTACCGTACATGGTGGCGTCTCCCTATTTTTTCCCCTAGGGTGGTTATCTAGGGTTTTTACCAAGGACAGTTCAAGACTGGGTCATGGTCACTCATTGGTCTCGCATAGTTATTAGAATACGAAAATTACAAAACTATTCCGATGACATTCCATCTACAGACTATTGCAGAATACGGAATATCTAGCCAATTACGGGTCCTCACTATTAATAACAAATTGAAAACATTTTAATTCCTTAATCAATGAAATTAAAATGTCATATTATCACAGAAAGATAATGAAATATAAATAGGATTCCTTTCACATTCGTACAATTCGTCGCTTAAATGAAATTGACCTTTCGAACCAGCCAATATTGGCCAACGTTATTTTGAATACTTTGTCTGATTATGTCTCAAACGATTTTAGAAATGAAGAAATATTGTTTACATACCACACGGCCATTGACGCGTTTTGTAGTCTCTTGCCATTATTGTTCTGACTTTTTAAATACGTTTAGATATTCGCTACTGTTAAAAAATGTTAGTTCACGTAGCTCACAATATAAATCAATTTGATACGTCAAACTTAACAGTTAATTAAATCTAAAATTTACAGTAAAAAAATCTAATTAACTTAACAGAATAATCCGTTTACGTCGTTCCGATAACCAGACCTTCGCCTCTCTACCCTCTGAAATCGATTCTAATATTTTAAATGCGAAAGTGTGTCTGTATGTCTGTCTGTTACCTCTTCATGCTTAAACCGCTTAACCGATTGAGATGAAAATTGGTATAGAGATAGTTTGAGTCCTACGATAGGACATAGGATAGTTTTTATCCCAGTAATCAACCTTTGAGAGAGTTAAAAGAGGGGTGTAAATTTGTATGGGGAATCAATAACCGCTGAACCGATTTAGATGAAATTTGGTGTGGAGATAGTTTGATTCATGAGAAAGGACATAGGCTATTATTTACCGCGATAACCGACTTAGAGACGGACGGAGCCGCGGGCAAAAGCTAGTCTATACTATACTAAAACCGAAGAGTTATTTTAATGTTTATCGATTAATATGAATAATATGATTCGTCGGGAAACCGTCTTTTTTATTAAATACATTATTAAAAAAAAAATACTTTTTCAGTTTCATGGGCGTTTGCGTGCACGAAGGCCAGCTCCATGCGCTAACAGAGTACATGGAAGGTGGTTCTTTGGAACAGCTTATCCTAAGCCGGCCGCCGGAACCGTTGCCGCAGCCGCTGAGGATCTCCCTGGCGGCGGACGTTGCTGATGGCATGATGTACCTGCACTCCCTTGGTGTTTTCCATAGGGATCTTACTACTAAGGTAAGCATACGAGTATAGACTCATTGATAGTTTGGGCGTCACTCAGGCGTTTGGGTTAGTCGCAATTGATAAAAAAATGTGTCGTTTTATCTTGCGTAGGTTAAGCATTCCAATATGAAGAAAGTTGATTGCTTATTGATATGGAACAGACATGTCTATATAGAATAAAGATCCATCCAAACCAATTGTATCGATATTGATGAAGTTTTCAGTTTTAACGACCGAATGGCTTAGTGGTTTGTGTAACGGACTGCTATTCTAAAGGTCGCGGGTTCGATTCCCGCTCAAGTCAAACATTTTGTGTGTATGAACATTGAATGTTTGATTTAGTCTTTGGTGTTTCTATGTATAATAAGTATGTATTTACAAAAAAAAAGTATAAATGTATTTTATGTATGTATAGTTGTATCAGTTGTCTAGTACCCATAGTACAAGCTCTGTTAGTTTGGGACTAGATGGCGTTGTGTGAATGTGGTAGAGTGTGTGGTGTAGTGTGGTAGTATTATTAGTAATCTAATGATTAGCACAGCAGGTTACAAAGCGAAGAAGCGATATGATAAACACATTTTCTCCCGTGCGAACCAGGGCCGAGTTGCTAGTTTGTTATATTTACAAAATATGTAAAGGAGTAAAACGTTCGAATTCCACTCAAAAATCTGTTTTACTCGTAAATACAAAAACTTACAGGCGAAGTCATGGATGAGCAACTAATATGACTAACAATTAGTTGGCTTGACTGGAAATCACGGCAACCACGGCCTAACAGAAAACCGGTTTTAAGCACTTATTTCGTTGATTTCACCAAATGAGATTACCGGAGACCTAATCCTCTTTTTTGGTTACAAGAAATCCCTCACCCACCGGACTTGATCCATCCAAAAACCGCACTCCATCGCGGGTATCAGTGATGAAATACTTAATCCCCATGGATAAACTAGTTAACAAAATGGTATATGCGTGTGCGTAATTTACATAACCTGATCTCGATCTGTTTTTCTTTTTTTTCCAGAATGTATTATTAAGGAAATATGGTGACGGTGACTTTATGGCAGTTGTCGCTGATTTCGGACTAGCAGCTAGAATACCTCATCCTGTGTAAGTACTAAATTATAATATTCTTAACCACGTTTATTCGACAAAAAACTATCGCCATTTTAATTCCCCCGAAAACATTAAAAGATAATAGAAATATCGATTGTGAGTTTTTTTTTTAAACAAGTCAAATTTTGCTAATTGGCTCCAAGTTCCACATAGTGTAAACTGAGATTTGATTTTCCAAACGGGTTCGTATTAATCTTGTTTGCGATAAACTAAATTACAAACTAGCAACTAAACTATTAGTAACATAGTAGATAAAGAATCGAATTATATGCACTACAAAGATAGTGAACAAGTAAAATATTTGTCAGTGCAAACCCACTAAAATAAACCCTTATGAGAATCGCGTGCTAGACACAGGTGTGTCCCCGTCTCTGCGCCGTTCATTGCATTAAGCGTGCTACCCTTTCACTAGTCTTCAGCATGATTTATACTTATGTTTTTATCCTCAAAACTCGGAAGAACCACTGCACTATGCCCTTCAACGGTCACGGGCTGGCTTGACGATGGTATGGCGAAACGACATCTATTCACCGTCAGTGGTGACTGTAAACTACGAACGGGAGACTCACCTTTCCTATCCGATTTAGTGGATCAGTCTATACCGGATTTTGTCCACCTCTTTCAGAGGTATACAGATACGTTAATCGTGGAAGTCCTGCTTCAGCGTATACAGGTTGGCTTGACTGGAAATCACGACAACATCGGCCTCACACATAAAACCGGTTTTAAGCAATTGTTTCGTTGCTTTTACCGAATGAGATTATCGGAGGCCTAATCCTCCTGTCCCCCTTTTTTTTGGTTACAAGAAACCGCCCACCCCTCGGACAACCGGTTGGATGGTTATGTCGGATTTGAACCAACTAAAATCCGCACGCCATCGCACCATCGGGTACCAGTAGTTGGGAAACCAAGTCTAATCTAGAAAAGGAATCCCGGGTACCCCGACGGCTCATAGATGCCCCCTTGTTCCTCCGTCCCCCTTTGACTATGAGGGAGCATGCCAAGGGCTATAACGCACTTGTGTCTCTTGAGTCACAGGTGTCCATGAGCTGTGCTAGTCATTTATGGGCATTATGGACAGTCGCATTGCTGACAATGCTAGCGGTAACTTATAGTTCTTGTAACCATTTAGCTCCACATTAATTCGCAAGCATACCACCGTATCGTACATCTTTATTGGCGTCTAACGGTACGAGATACGTATCCACGAAGAATCGATTAGACCCGGCTTTAACATGGTTACTGACTCGATGTTAGAAATAAAACGATTTTCTTCAGTTGATTGTAATTAGACAACACAGTTGCAAAAGGTATTCTTAAACGGATTATTTGCCATAGAGATAGTTCGTTCGACAAACGCGGCGGCGGTCGAGGGTTGGATTTCCGCTCGATACACATTGTTTTAACCATGAATTTGAGTATACGCATTAGTCTGGGTGTTATACATTCATCTAAGTATGTTTATCCACGTTCTACATTAAACCAATCTTTTTATCATAATTCTTGCACAAGAAATGGCTAAAGCCGACGAAGAAGAAAAAGGACTGACCGGTCTTGAAAATAAAGATATCTCTAAACTCTCTCTTGTAAGATATTTTTTCCAGACATAATCAATATTCTCTTCTTAAAAATAATATTGACAGGACCTGGGGCATAGGGCACATAGGGCTTGGGGAGGCCTATGTCCAGCAATGGACGACTTTCATTTAAGGCGATGACGATGAAAAATAATATCGATACCTTTTTCAGTATATTTATTTGATACCGTTAAAAAAACCGTAGTAAAAACCATATCTTGTGGAGAACGTAAACTTTACAATTATACTGTCACAAGTATCTTGTGCACGCTTCAGCGATCCAAGCACGCAATTTTGCGTGCAAACGCAATATTCGCTATTAGTCACCATCCAGGGATTATTCACTACTTAATGTTGCCATGTAAATTACCGTCAACAACATTACTTGACTCCCCCGAAAGAAAAATTGTCAATGATATTTAAGCCATAGAGAATACACGAAATTTTTAATAAAACAAAAATATATATTGTTGTGCTCATTAATTCTAGTAGTAGCGTCTTACCTGTCCATATTGTTTTGTTTTAAAATTTGAACATCGCTCTTTTTTTATAGTTATTATTTAAATTGTCCTAGATATACTGATACTATCCGTGTGGTGACGGATTAAGAATACAGTGTCACCACCCCTGTTCATCCCTTGGGTGTCGTAAGAGCCGACTAAGGGAGTAAACAACGCAGGACTGCATTGCAAAGAGAAGGAAAACTTGAATGAAACTTGAAACCAACCCGTCTGGCTAGCGTGGTACAGTAGGCCAAAACATCCTTTCTAAGGAGAGGCCTATGTCCAGCAGTGGACTAGTAAAGGCTGTTGATGATGATGATGATACTTATTACATACCTAAAACAACAGACCGTAAAAAACAACATTCAATTTAATCTACTTTTGCCACATACTGAATACTGGCTCATGCCCGTGACTCCGCCCAAGTGTATGTCGGTTACCGCTGTAAAACAGAGCCTATATCTTTCCTCAAGAATCAAAGTATGCTAAATCCCAAAGTTTAGCCGTAAAAGCGTAACAGACAGACTTACTTTTGGATTTGCGACATGATTATCTTCACTATTTACAAATCTAAATAAAATACATTACATCGATTTGTTTTAATTAGTTTATGTCTACTATATACTACTATATACATAGCTTACGATAATACGTATTTTTCAGAAACGGTTACAGGCTACCGAGTGTGGGCTCCCCGTGGTGGATGTCGCCCGAGTGCCTGCGCGGGCGGTGGTACGACAACCGCTCGGACATTTTCTCCTATGGAATCATTTTGTGCCAACTCATCGCCAGGGTGAGTACCTAACATACTTTTGGGGAGAAATACGTTTATATCTCCACAATATAAGAAGAGGTGCCTCCAAACAGGCTATGCCTGGCGGACTGCGACCCAACAGTTCTTTTGAAAAACGCGAAACTCGAATTCTAGACACTAGCAGACTCATCACATCCCTAAAGTCTTATATGTTATATGTATATATATACGTATGTACCATATGTATGTATGTAACTCAGCAAGTATATATATGTATGTGTATCTCAGTATGTATGTAACCTAATTTTAATTTCATGCACCTACTCAGACATTTCCCCACCACCCAAGGGTAGACTGGGAGAAAATGCCTTTGGCATTAAGTCCGCCATTGTACAATGTTTTGTTGTTTGTGCAAAAAGAATTAAATAAAAAATAAAAATAAAAATGACATCGCTGGATACTCGATCAGATTCATTGTGTCTGCTAGGGAACGATGTTTAAAAAACTATTTTGTCCAGTACTAGGAAGTTGGAATGACGTTATTCACGTCGTTTTGAATTACTTTTTTATATGCGTAAAGGTGGATGCCGATCCAGACGTCCTGCCTCGCACGGACAACTTCGGCCTCAACTACATGGCGTTCGTGGAACTTTGCGACGAAGACACCGTACCGGACTTCCTCAGGCTAGCGTTTAACTGCTGCATTGTAAGTACACACATAGAAACAGATTGAGATAGACTCAAGAAGTCCGGTAAATTGTTATCGACCTTGTTTTTTATTGCAGTACGAGCCAAAAGCGCGTCCGCTATTCCCAGAAATAGTGAATAAATTGGCAGAAATAAAGGAGAGCTTGGATGACGCGCCCTGGGGCTCCCATAGCACTCTCAACAACTATGACAGGTAATTACTTTTTCTCAAGCGTATACTGTTATAGTAGTAAAATCGACTGCATGGATGGCGTTTAAGTGGCCGCCACGCCGTTTCCTACTGCGCTGTAAATCTTTTCAGATATCTTTACAAGTTGAGGGTTCGATACCCACATAGTCCTATGTGCCATTTTGTGTGATCCACAAATTGTTGTTTTGATTCTGGGTGTTCTTTGTGTCCGTTTGTAAGTCTCACGAGACACAGGATATAATAAATAATGCGGGAGTTGTTTTTTTGAAATAAATAAAAAAAAGTAAAATGTTTCTAAAATATTTTGTTGAAATATTACAGTGAAGAAGCTGATTCATCAGGTCCACGCTCGTGTCCCGGGTTGTATGCCTGGCGACGTCCACTACGATACAAGTCGGAGGGCAGTCCGCGACGTCACGATCACGACCAATGTAACTATTTATCGTTGTGTCTTTCAATTATAAAGTTAACTGATTATTTTAATTATTTATATTGTTTTTGATATGTTATCCTATTACTATTCATCTTAGAGCGTACAGCGTTTATATTACTCATAATTCAAAAATGGATGGAGATGGAAATAGCTTGTGTACCAATTGTTTGTTTACCGACAGTACAACACCGCCGCTCACTATCAGAGCTGGAGTGGGGCGCGGCGGGGTGGGAGGGCGCGGGGCGGGGCGCGGCGCACCGCTCCGTGTGGGCGCTCGGCGCGGGCCCCCCCGCCGCCTCCGCCGCCGCGCCCCCGCGCCTCGCGCGCCTGCACCGCCTCGCGCACATCATGCTGCTGCGCGACGCGCACGCCGCCCCCGCCCCGGCGCGCCGCGCGCTCCACACCTTCCGCGGGGTCAAGAAGATCCTGGAGCCGGGCCCGGGCTCCGTCTCCTGCGCCGAGCTGGCCTCGCCGCCTCGCGCCGCGTCCCGCGCTCTCGACGTGATGTCCGACGACGAGCCTCGCGCCGCATCGATGCCGTCCTCCCCGGCCCTCTCGCGAAGAAACAGTCTGGACGCGCGGCCGCGGCCCGACCTACGGCGCCGAGGCTCCTGCGAGAGCGGGATCTTCTCCGTGGCCAACGAGGAGTTGTGTCCGATGCGCGGCGGCGGCGGGCGCGCGTGCGGCGCCGTGTGCCCGTGCTCGCTCGTGGGCTGCCACCGCTGCTGGTGGTGGCGCCGCGACGCGTCCGAGCGCGGCGCCGACGAGGCGGCGGGCGGCGCGGGCCCGCAGCGCGCCACGCTGTGCGGCGAGTGCGTGCGCGCCTACGACCGCGCCCTGGACGCGCGCGCCCCGCGCCCGCGCGCGACCAACGACGACGGAGCGGCCCCCGCCGCCGACGAGCCGCGCGGCCTCGACGACTCGCCGTTCCTGTGCGGCCGGCCCGACGCGTCGCAACCGGACTCGGACGCGTCCGACTCCGCGGAGTCGGTGCTGTGCGAGTATCACATCCTGAGCGCGTGCTGCTGCGCGGAGCGCGCGGGCTGCCCGGACGGCGAGGACGAACCCGGCTCGACGCTAGCCCGCCCGCCCCCGCACGCTCTGTCGTCCTGCAAGCGCACGTCTAGCGTGTACACGGACAGCTCCGAGGACGTGGCTTCGCTGGCCGGCTCGGACAGCCTGTTCTGCGACGAGCGGGTGCCGCGACACGTGCGCTCCGCGCAGATCAGCAAGATCGTCGAATACTTCGAGCGGAAGGGCGCCGACTTCACGTGCGAGCGCTCGGCTCGGGGCCACTCGCGCTTCCGCCTCAGCGCGGCGGGCGAGACGAGGCGCGCGGCGCGGGACGAGGCGGCGCGAGACGAGGCGGCGCGCGACGAGGCGGTGCGGGACGAGGCGCCGCGCAAGGCGGGCGCGCACACGCAGCAGCGCCTGCAGGTGTGCGAGGGCGCCGTGCGCTCCAAGCTGCCGCTGTTCGACAAGAAGACGTAGCGCTAGGCGACGACCGAGGCTCTCTAATTGTTTTCATTTTTATGATGGGACGAGTGAGCCCTTTTAATCGTCTTCGATTATTAAAGCGATATAGATGAACGCTCGCGAAAGAGTACCGGCGTCTTTGAGAGTCGATCGTCTGTCGACGTTCCGAGAGAAGATTCCGTCGGATCCTGTGAACCGTGACTTCCGTAGTGTTACAGAGAATATTTTTATTGTTAGTAGCGAAGAGCGAGAGCGATGTTCGATATTCACGTGTTAACCGATGTTCGACCACGGTAGATATTAAATCAGTATTCCTAAGGCTAGTGCCAATCGTGGAGGAGTGACGTGAACGGTCGGCGGTCGCGTGACGCGTGACGACTCTACCGATCGAAATCGAGTTTATTTGACTGATTGTAACTTCGTACTTTATTTATAAACGCACGTAACGAAGGCGAAAGAATTGAGATTAGGAACGAGTTCGTAGATGTTGAGATAGTCGAAATTGTCGGTGATTATAGTCAATGTGTGGTTGAATAGTCTATTAAAGTGTGGCCTATCCGTATATTATGAAGGCCTTTTAGTCTCCTTAGTCTAAATATATGACGCGACGGCGTTCCGAACTATTGTTTCACTAACGATCGGGCGAACGTGCGACTTGTAAATATTGATTAATTTAGGTTATGTTTCAATAACTTCATAATTTATTTTTTATGTTTCCAGTATTAAATAAAACTTGCCAGTTTATAACTAACGTAAGTGTGTAAATAATTTTTTATTTAATTAAGTGTATTGTCATAATAAAACGGTTTAAGTTGGCTACGAGTTAGTACGGAACATTTAAACTTAAAGTGGAATACTGATTACGTTTAGAATATATTTTTTATTTTACCCGTGCAGAGATACAATCAATATATTTCGTTAAATTACGACAAAGTCATATCATTATTTAAAATTATATTATTTACTTTGAAAGAACACTTTAATATTTACCTATCTATATGATACATATACATTATAAATTATATATGTATACTCATAATATACGGGCCATTGTCGTCCTAAAATTGTTAGATAACAATTCAGTGTCACGTTACTAGTCTTTTAAAACGCGTCACTTTCGTCACGGATTCCGTCGTAAATTAATTAGTAATAATTACCGCGAGCTACTTGTAAACACACCGAGCTCATTATTTATGAATGCGAGACAAATTTACTATGTGAACATAAAAAATATTAATAAACTTTCGTAAGATAGTAAGATATTATATTGACATCTTTAAATTCGATTCTAAATCAGATCAAACTTAATCGATAACTCATTCTAAACAAGTGATTTATCATATCAGAAATGTATAATACATTTGATTTTCTAATTCAATTTTTTAATTTGAAATTTAATATAATCAATGTAATTTAATATTTTAAAAAGGGGCAATCGCCTTAAGTGCTCACAAAGCAGTTAAAATGATTCACGGAACATTTTTTTTTATATCTCTAGAACTTGTCTTTGTAGACATTTCACGTGACTTATAAATGTAAATCTTACCACCATCTACAGAACTCATTTCAAACAACCAATTCTGATTTAGAATTATATAAATAATTATAAAAACCTGTGTCTGTGAATCTCCAACGCATTCGATTCTATTTAACAAAATCATAATGTACAAATATGTGTCAAAAACTAGACCGAACTAAAGAAAAATGTAAGGTGTTGCCAGTCGCTTCTCGCAACTATTAGTAAATTCTAACAATTTTAGAAAATTAAGTCAGTAAATGGTAGTAATTCAAAAACAAGCAACTATGAAAACGTCTAGCGGTTATATAGTATACGGATAAGTTACTTATTTTTTATTACGTGAAACGACCGCAACACAATATATGTCATAATAATCATATTTTTGTAAATACAGTATTAACGTGTATTTCAATATCAACATCATCTTATAGTATATTTTACTTTAAATCATGTTTATATTAATAAAATCAGGGTATACAAGGTGTACATAGAGAGATTGAATAATAAAATATGTGAATTCCGCCGACTCCTGCGGCTTAGACATCAGTGCCAAAAAAAAACTTTAAACAGTTTTAAATGTACATAAACGGATTGACTGTGTCTTTTCTTTTATTATTTACTGTATAACTTCCTACATTACCTATGCAAATAACACCGGACAAATACTTAATAAATGTATGAGCCAATCCACGACTTAGAAAGAGGGCAGTACCTGCACAGTGTTGCTATATAAAAAATGAAAAGAAATGGTAGATTTTTTATAAGGATGGTAGATTGTTACTTAACCTTAGTAGGTGTTTTGCGAAAAGCCACAGTCAATCATAGCGTTCTAAATCGAGATATCGAATTAGTGTTGAAACACGTCTTAATTTAAATGCAAGAGCAATTACCTGTCCGTCCATTATTAGACGATGAAATGCTTTACATAGCTGCTAGCCATCTTCTCTCAATTGTTAGCTCGATTATACCACTAAACAGATACGAAAAAGCACTGGCATGAATGCATAGTATTCACTAAGTTCTAATCTTGCAGCAAAGGGCTTGACTTGCTTGCTTTTAAAAAACAACAATAAAACCAGCTACCAATAAGGTCGAAAATCTTGTGGAATTGACAGATGATACGTTCTAATATTACTGTAGTACCTGTTAAACTGCATTTCTGTCGAAAGCTCGCTGATCTAATGACAAGCGCCCTTTGTAGTAAAAATAACATAGACGCTAAGTGATACATGTTAGCGATCAATGAGCACCAGCTGGACACCAAGACTGATAGGCATCTATTTAGCAGCTTTTTTTGCGGACGAACGGTCAGGCAGTCCGATGAGTTACAAGATTATAAATATCAGCTGATATAGGCACTAGCTTTTTTATGCCGACTCCTGCGCACGTTCACGTTCTGATGAAACGTTATCAGGACAATAGTATTGGTATAATAGATCTAGTTGTCCAGATTATTTCAAATACCTAATAAAATACTAGTCTACATTTTCTATGCAAAAAGTTAGGTTAAATATGCTTCGCAGTGCATGCTTTGCAGTGGCAAAGTATCGAAAACTTCACAAAATATTAAAAAATATGATCAGCAAATGACTGAACACTTACAACAAATATAATAACAATAAAACACTAAGGAAAAAACATATAAAAAAACTTATATAATCTTGAAATTCAATAGTATTTTAGCTTTCATTGTAGAGACGGTATAATGTTCTATATTATTCAAGTTGTTTCTGTAATTATCACATTGTTACCTAGCCGATTATATTTAGTTAATGCCATTACATTATAACTAATATACCTTTCATTGTAAAATAATATACATTTTTTGAATATTATGGACAGCTTTCATTTTTTTTACACTTTTACACAACATCACGAAGGCATTTAAAGCAGCTTTATATCAATGACTTTTCATAGATATTTTTTTCTATATTTTGTTTTACTGTAAATGTAAAATTAAAGCAAAATAAAACAAATAAATTGTCAGTATACCGTACAGTCAAAGTCGTTTACACATTCCAATTTACATAATACTTCAGTGGCGTACTGAGGGATAAAGACAAAAACTTTAACATTGTTAATAAATACGTAACATACAGGGAACAAATTGATGCTGTCCTCTCAGGTATGTCACAAAACTCTTTAATTTTTGTATGTATTACAGCAGGTAATTTGTAAATTGGTATTTGAGCATCAACTTTTGTTCCTGACTGTACTCGATACAACATTCAAACTTATAATTTCTACGATACTATAAGACCTTGTTACAATAAATCATCGGTACAGTAATACAGATAAATGACATATCACTACAAGTTTTCGTTTTCCACTATGGCAACTGATATCAAGAAGTGAAATTATTATGATTCGCGGTATGTCAATAAACGCATATTTATTTTATAAAGATTTTGCAGTAGCTCAGTGCCCGAATGTACTGAAACTGCCAATTAAAATAATTTGGTTAGTCATTATGGTAACAATAAATGACTGACCAAATTATATGTAATGCATTGTATTTATTTAAACCTAGCAAGAACACAACTTTACTTACCATCTTTAAAACATATCAGTGTTGCATGTTCTAAAAATGTTTTTTTGTTAGACCTATTTAGTATCGGCACATCTCTTGTTTTGTTAGGCCTGTTTACCAAACAACAATTGTTTGTTATTAAAAAAAAAAAACACACCATTATTGAGTACTGCGTATGCGTTAGTTAATTATCAGTCTCATCCTTAAAAAAGTCTGTAATTTAAAAAAAATGTAGAATGTCGTCAAATAATTTGTCGAGGTTCTAGAAACATCCATATTTTAGACCGAGATTGGTTATTAATTTTCGCATGTTCAGTGAATTGTGAACTAATTTGAAACGATATGTGCAATGGATATATTATTTTCTATCAACCTTACCTATATTTTCAAATTTTACGAAGACAACCCATGCAGCTCTCCATCAAGTTGAATGTTTACACCTAGTTTCCCTCTAACTCGATCAATTTAAAAAGTAAAAAATGTAAATTGAGACAACGAGTACTTTCATTTGACATTTTATACTTTCAGGAAATCTTTTTAGACCAAGACGATAAATAAAGCTATTATATTGAGAAGAGTGGATGTTAGGTTTGGTTTGGCCAATGTTTGGTGACAAATGTGTGCATTATTACCATTCATTAGTAAAAACATTTTGAGGCCGGACGGAATGTATGTAATTTTTATATATTGTATATGTTACAGGCATATTCATGATCATTTTTAACGTGTTTAATATTTAAAAAAACAAGCTGTTCTAAAATTAAAAATTATTTTGAACCAGGTGGGACTAGTTCTAAAGTCATTTGAATTATTAATGTAAATAACATTATAAAACATGTTTTCATTCAATTAAAGCGCAGCTTCACTCGTTCAACTGGTTCGTTCTTATCATTTAAAATTTGGAAATGTAACAAAGACATGTCAACTAATAGCGTGAATTTCTGTAATAGAGCAGTTTCAGCACTAATACGGATCAGTATTGCCAATTCATATATTATACCCATAGAGAATTAATTTATATGTGGGATTAAAGTTACACCGCAACAAGCATATCAGTTTCAAGCATAGATAATTATTAGTTATTTTGGTAAATTTAGGTTTTAACAAACGCCAACTTGGGAGCTGTCAGTCAATAGAAATATACTGACTGTGTAGTGTAATTACATTATACGATTGAGGTTACACTACATGTATGAAATCTTTATACTGACTCATATTTCTTAAAATTATGTAGGATGACCTCCTAAAATAAAGTGTTCTATCTAAATGTGTGTGTAAATACTGTTTGCCTTGTTCGAACAGAACATGACATTTGTCGTCTTAAATACAACGATTTCATTATTCATCTGTACCAATATCAATTTAAAATTGGACTGTGTTGTGTTGAAGTGATTTCTATATATTGACATGTTTGTTAATAAGATCATTTTTGCACAAAATCCTAAAATTTGATAATAGTTTATAACACGATAGAATGTCTTGTTAAACTGAATTTACAATAGAAACTTCGTCTTACCCGGGAGTGATGATGGCTCGCAAGTCGGCGTCTCGTTACATAAGTTCTGTGTATATAGCTCCTAATGTTCCTTGTTTTTAAGGCACTAACGGTTTATTGTAGAACATTTACTTATACGGTTGTGTCATTTACAAACCCAGACTTATTATAGTTATAGTTGAAGCCAATTAGGCAGTTACAGAATGAGAAATTTGTAATATGAAGGTCTTATTAAATATATTTTGTTTCAAACCAATGTTTTTTACTTGCTCATGTTCATAACACATCACTCGCCTGTGTCCTCAAAGGGTTAAGCAGAGACGTATTAAACGAATTATTTGCCGACTATAGTTTTAATTTTAGGAAGTTAAGGAATTAGATGGGAAAATATTATAATAAGTGTCCTATTACCTAGCTTTTTGCTTTTGGGACAGGCGTGTTGCTCTAATTCTTAGCGATTCTGACCGCTAACCCAAAACTCAGGAAATTAATTCCCACTCAGGACCAATATAGTGTAATACCCACGATTTTGTACAACTTGAAGTTGTACAAAAAGCTAGGTAAGTCTGGATTGCGATTTATCTATACTTTAGAAATATATATCAGCAGTATGGTCAGACAGCTGTATGTCGAATGTGTCAAGATTCTATTATAGTGCAAAAAAAATATTTACCAGATATTTTTGTTTGCATTTAAATCGCAAATAAGTCTGCTTTTAATTGTTGAACAGTGAGGTAAGTCCGTGTGGTGACGGATTAAGAATACAGTGTGTCACCACCCCTATTCATCCCGTGGGTATCGTAAGAGGCGACTAAGGGAGCAAACTACGCAGGACAACAGCACTACAGAGAGAAGGAAAACGTTGACACAAACCCCATACCAACCCGTCTGGCCAGCGTGGTGTGGTAGGCCAAAACCTCCTTTCTAAGGAGAGGCCTATGTCCAGCAGTGGATTAGTAAAGGCTATTGATGATGATGAGGAGGTAACAGTACTAGAAATTTGTTTTTTTAATTCTTTCTTTATATTTAATTTAGCTTTTATAAAACAGTCAGTGTATTAATTTTTATATAAGAATTAAGATATAGCAACGAACTCTTTAAACCCAAATATTTACCATACGTGCAAAACTGAACATAGGATACTAAACATATTTTGAACTGCTGCTGAAAACTGTTTCAAAAGGCTGACAAAGTAACTACAGAAGACTACAGTAAGCCAACACTGCGTTGTGTTTGTAGCGATAACCGCTTATTTTCTCGCTAGTTTGTCCATCATTAGAGATATCCCGAGAGAGGTGACCACAATGTACATATCTCGTTCATGCAATGGATTCAAGGAAATGTCGCTCGATTGTTAGGGTAAGTTAAAACACTAACCAAACTGCTTTACCAATATCTGGATGTACTGAAGCAAAAACAAAGACCCTAAAATCTCACAAGATTACGATCAGACCACAGGAAACGTGTTACAATAATATGATCCATTACATTTATCAACGTCAAAAGCCGCCTTTGAGTTCGAATCATTACGTTTTAATTAAGTTAGGTATGTTTGGTACACATGAAATTGTATAACTCTAATAATTATAATAAATCTATATATAAGAAAAAAAAGAAGTATTAGCATGTACACATTGATTCCGAGTCTATGCGTTGATTACGAGTTGTTGCTTTCGGGCGTTGACCCTAGTGGGCTTAACTTTCATAAAATTACCTGTATTTCAAAAATTTGATTTGTGTGGGGCTTCGGGCACCGTTATTAAATGACAAGACGCTTTTGTTGAGCTTAAGGGTGCAATCTCATTAAGATGGAGATTTGACTAAAAATACGTTATAGCGAAATAATTTATTACTGTAAATGACTTGGTATATGAGAGACGGGCAGATGTGGAAGAAAGAGAAGGAGGAGTGGGACAATACAGGCTAAAAATAAAATAAAATAATAAGATAGAATAAAATTGTTGTAAACATATGTAACAATAACATTCACAATTTTTTAAGGGTTTCACTGAAAATGTACCCACCCGCACAGAAAAAATAATTCGGGACAAATTCATAGCAAATCCTTAGAACCGAATTACATGTTATTCTTACACATCACTTATTCAATCCTTTTTCTCCAAATTTAAGTATTTTTTATTACAAAATACTAAGGTTATTTATCCCAACTAAAATCAATTATTACATAGGTACTGTTTTAGTCAAATCAGCAAAATTTGAGAAAGCGTCCTTCAGGATAGATCAAATTTATTAGTGCAATAGCACTCATTTTCATAATAAAAATATACCAAGTAATAGAAATTTGAGGTTTGAAGCAAAGGCAGTTCAGGAATTAGGACAACATTGACACTTTTTCTCTGGAGGTGGCGGCGGGGGCAAACAGGACGGTGGCGGCGACGGTGGCGCGTCGCAGGTCGATGGTTTCTTTTCTCTGCACTTACAGGTCTTGGGTACAGGACTGTCCTGGAATACCATATATTAAATAAGTGCTGCGTTCTGCAATTGAGTTTTCATCTATTATGATAGATAAAAAACTTTCAGCTAAACTAAGACTTGACGAATACAACCGCCGAAACATTACACGCTTGCGCAGCTCGCTTTACCTTTCAGCTAAGAGAACGTACCCTCACTACGTGACCCAGTTCTTCAAAATAAAACGTTTAGTCACAGAGGCGACGGGTTTTCGTTTTTCGTTACGTACTTGGTCAATATCATATTTGTCAAGCGTTGTAATATGACAAATATAAGCCAATTTTCCTATTAGCAAAAAATTATTTAAAAACATGTTTATGAATTACTACGTGAAAACAGGAAAAGGAAGGTGGGGTCTTGGTAAATACCTCGGGTGGTCACCAAAGAGAAAGGAGGGCTAAAAATTGTAAAAATGGGTCGCATAGTATGAGTACGTTCCTTAACCATGTTTCCCTCACACAAGCGAAGATGCTGGAGAAGCGGTTTAATAAAATGAACAGTCAGAAATACTAACAGAGACCACTTTAGGTTCAGAGGGATCCGGTCTCTTAAGACATGGATTAGGTCGAGGAATACACGGTTTATGGGGTTCTGATTTGGTTGGCTGTGCAATCAGAAATCCGAGACCCAGCATTGTGAGTATTTTCTTGATGGTGCGACGGTCAAGTGAATATAGCATAAAACCAAATAGGCCGCATAACAGCGCCGAAAATGCTAATAGCACTGCCTTGTTGCGGTCGGGACGGTCAGGAGATGATCTTGAATCCGGTTCCTCGCCACCAGGCCGCGGACAGCTCTTCCTACGAAAGGTTTCAGCGCTGCAAACAATACATTTTAGTTTGACACAAAGTAGTCAGTAATAATTTGAAAGATATGTCTGCGCCACAGCGAAAGTTGGTGTCTCGACTGCTTACGGAATAATATAATTTGTGTGACCCTAAAATAATTGTACACACCAGACACTGGATGTACCGTTTAACGTACCTCTAAAAAAGCTAGTAGCCCTAAAAAATAATGGTAGTAATTCGCTGAAGTTAGAGAAGAATGAAAGAAGAAAAAAGAAGACTGAGTACTTCCTATTGATCACTAAGTTATATGTATTTGTATAAGTAAAACGGGACCATGTGCTGCACGAATGCCATTATTTCATTCTCATACTATATTATTTATGTGGGATATATGAAATTATATATATAACAAATGCATATATATATTACACCACAGTATAATATAGCTTGACTTAGTGGTATAGGCCGCCGATTGGTAGTATGTATATTAAGTGCTCATAAGTGGTTGGTATCAAAATGTACTTACCAGTCACACATTGTAATTATATATTAGGGTTTATTATATTCTTCTTTAAGACATTTTAATATGGCATATTGTAAAGAGTGAGATTCAGAATGTAGTGCTGATTTTGTTCATAAATAGTTTTTGTGTGTTGTCCATTTTATCGGTTATTTACTCCAATTATGTCGCCGAAACATCGACGCACTACATGACATGACGTTGACAGATTTGTTTTTTATTATTTATCATGTTGCTTGTACGTATTTAGAGGATTTACTTATTTTCATTTTTATTATGTAAATGACACTGAAAAGAAAAGAAAATAGCCGGTATTAGTTATAATCGGTTACATCTTATATTAACGTGTAAGGAGAATTAATCATAGGCATTTAAAAAATCGAAGAACTTTACGTGCTTCGGAATTTTGTGCTTGTTTATGAGAAATTGTGTAACAAATTTAAAAAGAACTTGAAAATGCATACATCAAGTTAAACGTATTACGTGTACGTAAGTCAATACCTATCATGGTACGGAAAGTCTAACAATGGCAGTTCAACTTCAATTGGGTTCAGTATAAAAGTTGAACAGAGACTGGACTCGGAAAATTAAGTATGAATCATAGTCGATTTTCAATCATCAGGGGATTTTTCAGTCTTCCGCACGGAAAAAAAAAAGAAGGGATTTTTCCGTCGGGGTACCAGGGATTTCCTTCACCTGGTTCCCCCGCTACTGGTACCCGAGACAGCGTGCGGTTTTTAGTCGGTAGTTACGGTGAGCGCTCCGAGGAATTCAAACCATCTTCAGCTTACCGCAATCTTTACTTCAATTACTCGAATATGTTTTAGTCTACATCTGTGCGCTCTTTAAGAAACTTTTTGCCTCGCACATCAAATCTGCGTTACAAATTGTCACTAGTTGCATTTCCGGCCTGATTTTACCTTCAAACCTTCAAGAAAAGTACCCCGACCTAAGAAGCCTGTGTCTATGAGCGGGTGTGGTTAAATTATTATGAGGGTAACAGGCAACTGTGCAGTTTGTTCCCTTAGTCGGCTCTTACGACACCCACGGGATGAATAGGGGTGGTGACATTCCGTATTCTTAATCCGTCACCACACGGACAACAACGCTGCAAAAAGAAGGAAAAGTTAAAACAAACCCTATACCAACCCGTCTGGCCAGCGTGGTATACTCGTAGTAGGCCAAAACCTCCTTTCTAAGGAGAGGCCTATTTCCAGCAATGGACTATTGTAGGCTGTTGATGATGATGATGATGATGACAGGCCCTCTCTTTTGCCCTTATATAATAAAAACAATTTTGGCGTATAATAAATAGGGTTAGACGATGATACAATAAAATATAAAATGCGCAAAAACACTCATATCTTAGGTGATATCTTACAATGCTACTTGTTACGTACGTCATTACTCATACCTACAGAAGATTACAATAAAGACAAATAAATATAATAAATATAATTTTATCAAAGAAAGTTGTAAACATTTATTTATCACATTAAAATGTAGGTGATTGCGAATGTTACTCAGATCGAGTCACTGATTAATTTGACCAAGATTATACAAATGTTCGTATACAGGTCCAAACTTAGACTGGTATTGATAACACCGTTATCACTAAAGTATCGGTTCAAGGGTTTTGTTACAAAAACAAATTTATTATTACCGCCAAGGGACGATAATTCTTTTAACCTTTAGAGAGTCGCATCGGTATAAAATGTAAAAAAAAACTTTGTCTTTTCGTTATCTTAATGTTAAAAACAGTAATAGTGAACCATTTCACATGCAACAACATTACTTTTACTTCTGTAGAGGCTATTTACATTTTAAGTACTCTCATAAAGTTTTCAACGAATTTGACTTCAGCAACTCTCAATTTTTTCGTTTTTTCTCCTACTAGAACCTTCTATTTTTTGTTTTTCCTTTAAAATTGTTTTTCCTGTTATTTTTTCAATAAACCAGTTTTTCGCAACTGCTCGATTTTTTTCAATAACTTGCGACGAACCGATTTTTTCCAAAGTATTTTTTTTAAACTCATACTTTTACCCGAATTATAACTTTAAAAACCAGCCAGTTTATTTATTTTTTCGATCTGAACTTTCTGAACAATTGATGTAACGAGAGCGAATTTATCTAAATTAAATCATCCAAAATACTTAGTTGTAAGATAATCATAATATGATTGAAACATTTTAAATGATTACTATTAGATTAAAATGACTAATTCAAAATGTTAATGATATCGGCGTGAGAGATAACCAATGACGACACAATTATGTTTGTATAAATACTATTATTATATTTCAATAACAATGTAATTTGTTGATGATCACTTGGGCAGCTAATATTTACGTTCCTTATTTATAGTAATTCTCCACATCCATAACGAGATAAATACAAAACTACCCAATGTACCTACCTATTAGAAAATAGTCAACTCTTGTCGGAAAGGAATATAAAACGAAAATTATGTATGAACGTTTATTATTATAATTCAGAGCGAGATGCATCATACTTGAGATTAATTTTAAGGCAGCAGATGTAAAAATTGACAATAACTGTTTATGTGGAATTAATTTAACCTTTTTTTTCTCTGCGGAAATCCCCTGGGATACCACCCACCGGTGGCTCGGACTCGAATTGACTAAACCTCTCCCCCTCGGGTACCAGCAGCTGGGGAACCAGATGTACCCTAGAAACGAAATCTCTGGTACCCCGACGTACCTCCCCCTCCTGTGTGGGAACCCCTATGTTCCCTTTGTGCTCCCGAAAGGGCGTGCTCGCTACGCAACGCGTCTTAACGGATGGCCACACTTTAACGGACGGCCTGCGCTGATGGCGGACGGAGGTTGTTCTGCGACACACAGGAGGACGACCACAGGAGATCCCCGAAGCATCCATTCCCAGTGATCACCTGCGTATGCGCGGTATGAGAGGGTGGAGTGCCAGGAGACTCGCTGCCTTGAAGGACATTGTAAGGTCCTTCCCTTATGGCACTCGCTGCGGTCGTCGCAGTAGTGCGACGTTGTTGGCCCTCAGGGCCCCCGCCCATACTAGGGCCCTATAAAGGGCCATGGACCGCACAACCCCCCCAGCAGTCTCCTGGAATTACTTTTTCAACTCAACTCCGACATAGAAATATTTTGAGATTAATTTTAAGGCAGTAGACGTAAAAATTGACAATAACAGTTTATGTGGAATTATTTTACCCTGTTCCTTTGTTACCTGTGTTCTAATGCCGAAAAATCGTTGTCTAATCTCGAGGACATCGAAGACGAAGTTAGTATCCACTGTCTATTAAATATTAATAAAAATAATGATACTGAACTGGACAATTCAGAAAAACTTAAAAAAATTGAAGACAGAAAATGCACTCGATGAAATCGAAAGTTTGATCGATTCTGGCGACGAAGAATTATCCACGAAGAAAAGAAAAATGCAATGAAATTATTTCAATTGTAATTGAACTGTTGTTGATCGATCTAAGTGGCGTGCAATGGGAGAGGCCTATGTCCAACAGTGGACTGCGATAGGCTGATGATGATACTTATACCTACAAAACACTTTGACGTGATAATTTGTAAATACTTACAAATCACAGGTAATAATAAAAAAAATTGAGTTTTTACCTAATTAATTGCAGATTAAACAATGTTTTTGGAATTTGAAAGCCGAAATAAATAAACACATGTAAATTACCATATTTTGTGTAACATATTATTGTATGAGAATTTACAATAAAAAAGCAATTCATGATTATCACCGAAAATGCGATTTTGAAAAAGCAGTTGTTTCGGCTTTTCCTTCTTTGCAAACGATATTTTTGATATGTAACGAAAAGCTACAGAAAAGGCTTGTACGATATGCAGTGCGGCAATAGGTACAGCCAGGCACTTACTGACAGGTTGTAAGGCGCTACTAGACCGGGGCCATAACAGGGTACTACAAATCATAATCATAATTATCATATAAATTTATCGCTGGCGAGAGCGAAGAAAGGAATAGCAACAAACATAAGAACTAACATCGAGTTTGTAAAGGAAGGTTTAACAAAAAAAAGGGGTGTGTGTGTGTGTACAATTCACACACGGCAGAAATGAAACTTCAGAAAAGTAGCCTACAAGAGAATGAGATAAATATAGAGTATCAGGAGTGTTAGGATAATTAAAAAGTTATTATATTTTTACCAAGCTTGAAATTATTTCCAAATTTGAATGCAAAATATTAAATTTCATATATTTAAATATTTAAGATATGCCAAACAATAGAAGACTGAAAAAACTATGGAGACTGAACTTCTGGACATCGGCTCACGAAGTAAGTACCACGCTGCTTCTTAACTCGTTAATTCAACAGTATTGAGCATATTAATCATTCTTCTTGTTATTTCTACTATGTCGAACTAATAATTTAGATAAATTAATAGACGACAAATTCAAAAAATAAAACATGTGAATGATACACCACGTTATTTATGACACATTTTCTGAAGGCTCCCTTGTACGCATGCGCAAAGACACGTGATATCATAGAGGAGACAAAGATTACAGAAAGCACTGAATACTGTAATGTATCTTATTGTCTCGCAGGCTAAATAGGATATTTATGACTATGTTCGTCTCTTTTTACTGTCGCTTTTTCGTTTCATGGAATTTTCAAATCACAAAAGTGCTAAAAAACTATCACTTCAAAAAGACTTCACAAAAGCCGTACTCAATTATAACTACCGCCGCCAGTGACTGGACATTATAAGTGGACACGTTTGAAAATCATTACAGAATGCTGGAGAATATCTGTGCCTCGAAATATGTAAAGACATATTTCCTTATGCAACGTCAATTAAACGTGTAGTACTGGTAGAACTCACGGTACCGTGGGCAACGAACATACCTAAAGACCACGCTTTAAAAAGAAACCAGTACTTTGACTTTACCAACGATATAACTAAATTTGGTTATTTCGTTGCGTTGTATACCGTGGAAGTGGGTGCGAGGGGTATATACCAGCTAAATCCCTCTATAACCTACTTAAACACCTTAGATTGCCAAGAGCTTCAGTAAGCTATTTTCTGGAACGAAAATCCAAAGCGGCATTGATAGGTATCAAATATGGTTAGGTAGAGGGGGGCACAGCAGACAGTTTAGGTGAGCGCTGATGCGTCGCAAGGATATTTTGGTTTGAAAAAATTTGGGTTTGTTTTAAACACAAAAAAAGTTTTTTTTTTTTCTTTCGATAATTTTGAGGTTTTTGTCAATAATGTCCAATAAGAAAGTTTTAGATTATTTAGCCAC